ACAAAACAGATGTCCCAGCAAACAGCCATATATACTGTCTCTGTATTACCAACAATATCAGTGAAACAGTCACACACTCCCACATCTTCAGTCATGAGGAGAGATATAACATGAGTAAAGTCTGGTCTCACCTTTTTTTCTCCTGATTTTTTTCATCATGGGTTGCTTTCCACAGGATAGCATCATGGCTCCCTCCCATTGGATAGTTCCATGCTCTCCACCCCCAACCCTTAATTCTAATGGGAAACCTGTGTATCAGGGTGCATCCTCTTCCTCCTGCCTCATTAACAATGAAGATGGCATCTGCAATGTATGCTGAAATGGAACAACTTCAAAAAATGAAATGGCTAAGACCTGAAAGCTAAAATTACATAGAACAATCAGAGTTACATATAAGCTGTTCAACTTGAATGAACCATGCAGTGCATGTTAACTCACCTTGTATTTATATTCATTGATAAATGCAGACAGACATGACCCTCATCATAATGTGGCCAGTTTTCAAGTTTCATGGGGGAGGGGGGTGGTAGACTATTTTGGAAAGTGAAATAATAATCTTGTTTTGTAATGAACTCTGCAGAGGTACAAACTTTAATCATAAACTTCAACTGGCACAATGGTTCCTAGTTCTGGCATGTTAAAAGTGAAGTTTCACCAAGCCTGAGCCAATCCATTATGACTTATCAGTGATGTGAGATACAGCTCCACATATTCTTGAACTCAGCACTGGGAGAAAGCAGCCGGCAACACACTGATGCTCTAGCCCTGGTACCCATTTGGAGTTATGAACTGGTATGAATGTCCTTCCAAGGTTCCTACCATTAGTTTTACCCCACTAATCCAATCCATATTGAATGAATGCATGTGTAAGGGTCGGCCATAATAATCCAGCCCTTGCACCACAATGATCACTGATCTATTGTGCTTCCCTTTTTGATTAACCCCTTATTAATCCTAAACTTCAAAAGAAATATATGACTTTATTTATGGGGGGCATCATAATAGTCACCTGCTTCCAAAAAGTACTGGCCTAGGTGATGAAATCTTATATAAGCTATGGCCTCACAATCACATAGGATATGTGTGGCTGATTCATCATCTAGGAACCTTTCACAAGTGGGGTCATCCGTCAAACCCAGTTTAAAAAGGTGTCCTTTCAGGTGACAGTGTCCTGTAACTAGTCCTACTTTTTTTTTCTTGGCACTACAGCCCCAGTGGGCCTAGGTCTACCTCCATGAACTTCTCTGTTCACTTCAGTTTTTCTAGATCTTAAACATACGGTAGGACTCCTTGGGCGGGTGATCAGCTCGTCGCAACTAGTCCTACTACCAATCTTAATTATAGTGTAGTCAGTATAGTGAGTGGCTGGACAACCAAGGGGTCAGAGTTTGAGTCCCAGTAGGGTCAGGAATTTTTTCTACTCCACACCGTCCAGACTGGCTCTGGGGTCCACCCAACCTCCTATCCAATGGGTACCAGGGGCTCTTTCCCCAGGAGTAAAGCAGCTGGGGCATGAAGCTGACTACTCACCTCCAACTAGTGCTGAGGTCAAGAAAATGTGGATCTATACATCCACTCACCCATGTGTCATCATGACATTGTGCTTAACTAGTTAAGCAGAGGAACTTTACCTTTACCCCATAAGTATGGTATTATTATGTTAAGTTTCATAGTTTCCCGCTTAGTGCAGTTCTGTTTCTTGCTGTTGTTGACAGATGGCTTTAAGAATGCTAGTGGGTACCAATTTCCTACTAATATGGTTACTAAAACTGCTGCCTCCTTTTTAAAACAGTTTTTATGCACATGACTGTTGCTGTTCGTTAATAATTTTATTATTCCATGCTTGATACTGTCCACGTAATTGGAGCTGCGGTGTAATCCCTGCCTGTGTGAGCCAATTTTCTGGATACAACTCTCAATATGTTCCTCCTAGCCACTTGTACATCATCTCAAATTGTCTTTTCCTTTCCTCAAGTGTCTAGACCAAAATTATATACAATATAGTCTCTCTCTCTCTCTCATCCACGTGCACACACAGACAGAGCACATCTTTTTTCTTAAAAAAATTTTTGCCAGTGTTCTCATGTTTGGTATTAGCCTTGTAGCCGCTCACCGACATAGTCGCCACAACTGTCACTTGAGCTTGGTTCTTCATCTCAGGGATACGGGTGCTTCAGATATGGGAGTGGAACACATTTCAGAGTTAATGAATCACGGAGTCTCCAGAACACACCTTGTATCATTGTCTACATTAATATTGCTTACAGCGATAGTACACATTGTATTAGTCCTCCAGGCTAGCCTCTCCATCTCTCTTAACTTTTGGCACTGGCCACATTGATTCGCTCCCAGCTCACCAACCATACACACTCGCTAACCCTGACTGTCCCTCAATTCTCTCCTGCATCTACTTTCAACTACAGTCAACCTCCGCTCCCTATCACCGACTGCAATCCCATTCTCGGTTCAGCGGCTTCTTTCAACTACTCTACACCTCTGCTCCCAATCACCCTCTCTTTCTTACAAGTCCCACAGTGGCAATAAAAAATGAGAGACAGCTGTCTATGATAAACCCTTTTAGGTCATAGCCCAATTAAATAATTTCCACCGAGGCACATATGGTTACAGCCTCAAGGTCAAAACAGGCAGACATATGACCTCTGAAAAGTCTGCCAGTCCACTTCACTTGCATGCATATTCACAGATAAAAATTACTGTGTTTATATTGTCACACATCTGAGTGAAGACAGAGGTTTTGGATTGACTAATGGATTTACTGGACATGTTTACAGCTTGTGACTACACTTTACAAATCAATGTTACACAGACTAGTGTTCTAGGTCACACTGCTTGACAACATCTTACACCAGTGGGCATTCCTCTGCTTCCAGGCTCATGTCCTCGCAGGAGAGCGGCCATCTCACACCAGTCTCCTCTTATAACTGCCATTCCAGGCCTATCTCATACTGGCAGCTGGTCTTCATTATACAGGGTGTTTCACGACTTAAAGGCATAACTGCAGGAGGTGATTCCCTAGGTCTTTGTGATCAAAAAAAAGTTCATATAAACATGTGTTCAATTTTGGATGGTTACGGAGTTATGACCGTTTTAAACTCAGAATAGAAGGTAACGATTACTGACAATGGAACAATAATAAACCGGCATAATACATGATACATCTAAAGTATGAATGTACAGTTAACTTCGTGAAATAACCTTTAATTTGAATTGATTGGTGCTTAAAGCTAATTTTCGAAAATGTCACCACCGGCCGCAACACGGGCTGCCACTTGGTTGTGAACCGCGCCGGACATACCAACCCCCCCCCCTCGCCTTAGGTAGCTCTCATGTGTTGAGATAACGAGAATGCTCTGTCTGTAGCTGGCTAAAAATAGCGACCTGCCAGCTGACAGACATGGTTCATACTAGGGCATGTATGGGAATGAAAAAACGGTCATAACTCCATAACCATCCAAAATTGGACACATGTTTATATGAACTTTTTTGATCACAAGGACGTAGGAAATCACCTCCTGCAATTATGCCCTAAAGTCGTGAAACACCCTGTATAGCCTCAGCATGGGCTGCAGAGAAAATGTCTCTTCCATGATTGCATGTTCTCTCATTGCTTGGATAGCAATGTGTCCACAGTGCTATTCCCCAGCAATGACCACTGTACTGTCACCTGTGTACAGGGCTGTTACTTGGCAATGGGTCAACATTTCATAATATGCATAATTCTACCTCGACACGACAAAAAATGTTTACCCACAAATGGCTAATTTAACACATTCCACATTTTCAGTATGTTATGGAACAAAATATGCATGTAAGATTTGAAGCTTTCATGGCAAACAGACGTGCTAAAATATTCTCAGGCAATCAGCCATGTCAGCACTGGTTTTTAACTCAAAGCTGACATAACTGATTGTCTGAAAAGATTTTAGCAAACAAAATATGCAATTTGTTAAACTATGATACCAGCTGGATTTGAGGTTATCAGAGCAGTTGCTGGCTATGAAGAGTTCTATCTTCCTCTTAAATGTTGGTTATTTTCACTGGCGTTACAAGGTGCTATAACACAACACAGAACCTTCATAACACTGGTTCGCTTCTTGAGATTCTCATAACCACTGGTTGTATAGCATCAAATGGTTAGATGCTTGTGAATAACAGACTGGAAAGCGAGCAAGTGGGAATGACTAAATTTTCAGGTGGTAGCTGAGCATCTGCAATGAAGGAAAAATAAAGGAACTATATGTGAGGACAGATTGCCTCCAGGTCAAAATCCAAACTGTGGACATCCTGAACACGAAGCAAAAGTGGAAACCACTATGCAGGAATGTTATTCACATTAAGTAACCATGCAAAGGGAATTATTTCAATTATTAAGAAACTCAGAGGAAAAGAATAATATGCTTCATATGATTTTCCTTGAGATCCACAGCCTATTACCATTCAAGACCACAGAAACTGCCTTCAAGATTGCTAAATTATTATAGTCATTTATTATTATATTGTCATATTGAATTGAATGGCCGCGTCACAGCTTAAGCGGTTAGTCGCTGGCTTCCCACCGCTGTGATCTAGTCATGTGGAATTTGTGATGGACAAAGTGGCGCTGGGGTAGGTTTTCCCCGAGTACTTCGGTTTCCCCTGCCAATCCTCATTCCATCAAATCTCCATAGGCATTACCACCAGTAAAGGTACAATAGGACATATGGAGGATTTAAGACCACAGAAACTATTTTCAAGACTAATTATACTGTCATATTATTATCTCTGTATTCCTATATTATTATTATTAGTATTTAGTATTAGTATTAATATTAATCTTTGACTTGTCCCATATCATGTATAATGATTCATGGATGAAATAAAATTGAATTGAATTCAGCCATCAGCCTTAAGTAGACGGCTTTAAATTTACAAAAGAAGGGTTTGTGTAAATACCAGTCACTGGGAGACAGTTCTTACCAAAGTAAACATAAGAACATAAGTGAACATAAGAAGTATGTATTATCATTCATATACAAGAGTTTCAAAGGTTGCAAATATTTACAAGAGAAAAATATTTGTACTCTGGTTTCAATAATGGTTATGAAAAGACAAGAAATTTAACCTAAGGGCAAGACATTCAGGCTTGAATGTGACAACAGTGTTTCCACAACTTATGCATATCGTCTTGACAATCTGTGCTGTCTGCATGAGGCCTGATTTATATACTCTTATTGGACCTAAGATCTATGATGTAGAGTTACCATGAATTTGTAGCATGTGACATATTTTATATCCAGACCTATGGGAAAGGATTGGATCAATGAAATGAAAATAAATGTAAATGCAAAGGAGCTATGGTAAATATATCGAATAATATCTTCAGAAAGTCTAAAATTAATTTGTTTTATGTTATAAACTTAACCAACATACAAGACTAGTTAATTATATACAATACTGCAACATCATGGTAATATCACACTGTATGTGCTACTACTGGGTCAAGTATCTAAACATGGAGTAAAATGGATAGCCAATAGAGAAATAAGACTGTGGTTCTGAAATACACTTTACAAATCTACTTCTCAGGAAACTGAACAGATTAGTATTTATTACTACTGCTAATTCATGTGTAAAAATATCAAAGATATTTACAAAAGTAAAAATTTATTTGTACTTGAGTTTCAGTAATGGTCATGAGAAGATATACAAACAAAATGTTTGCTCTAATGGCAGGTCAAAAGATTAAGCTGCATTTAATATTTGAAATAAACTCATAGGAGACAGAATAAAATTAATTTCTTTCCCTTTTATGAAGTTATAAACTTAATAAACAAGATGTATAAATTATATACAATACTGTGACCTAACTTACTTCACAATCTATACTGAATCTCATAATAAACATATACATTAAACCGCGTTATATTCATTAATGTAGTTAATTAAAATCAGGACTTCGTGCAACCTGAAACATACACCTGTGATTTTGGCATAATATAACTAAATCCAATGTATACTGCTGTACCTCGTCTGCTACTTCTTACTGTGGAGATATTTCATGTCCGATGAAAATAAAAGTTTAAAAGCCAACAAAATGGTGAACTCTTTGCATGCACACAAAGGGACGTAATACATATAATATATAAAGAATGAGAAATGTTAAAGTCATTTGACCAGTTTGTGCTATGAAGACCCATCACTCACTGACACAGAACTATCAGTTTCCTGAGTGTCTGCTCCCTCATCAGAATCATTAACAAGTGTAAGTGCATCCACACTGCTCCGATTTGAACCACACTTTTCAAGCGAATCTTTACTGCTAAAACTATAGTTCTGACTGGTTGTACTGTTTTTCAGTTTCTGCTCTAACTCTGCCCATGGATCTTCCAGCATTGAAGGGTGATAATACAGACTTATATCATCAGTATTTTTTGCATTTCCTAAGACGTTACTATCCTATAAACAGAAAAGAACACGTTAAAATTGTGGTAAACTTAAAGGTGTACATGACATAAATTAGTATAATATGCTTGTCGTTCAAAAAATTTCAAATGCCTACCATTCTATTTCTATTTGAAGGATATTTCCTGGGCGTGTCCATATTATTATATGGACTGAAGCTTGAATTACCGTTCGAACTTCCCGAATTACTGTGGAAATGCCTTCGGTTCATATCGTAGGGACTGAAACTGGAGTTCCAACTTGAATTGGCAGGACTGCCAAAAAAGCTTTTTCTGTTACCTCTTTTCCAGTTTCCACCTCCTCTTTTGCTCACGTTATTTACAGGGCTACTGTAACTAAGTGGTATGAAATCGAAGTTTTCTGGCTGTGGTGAGCCTTTAAAGGGTGAACTTCCAAGCTTGGCTGAAAACTGATCTCTTGGACGAACGAAGTCATGAAACAAGCCTTTGCTATTGTTCAAACCTGGCTTTGAACTTACAGGAGTACCAGAATAAGGATTATGATACATGTCGTATGTTTTCTTGAACTAAAACTTGTCGTTCTTCTTACTTTGATAACAACCAACCAAATAACTTTCAGCTACCTACAACAGATCCGACACGGTGTTATGGCAACAAGAAACAGTTGCGTTGATACCCGGAAGTAACGGAAGTATAAACCTAAGTAGAAGTCAATTCAATGTCTAAAGATTACGTGATATCTGGGGATGCAACCGTTCTGATATAGTTTCTAATATTCCTAAATATGACTTATATTTTTTATATAGTATCTTCCATTTTAAATACGGAATCTCAAGATTTATAACAAAGTTTAATCGACGTCAAAATACCATCCTCACTGAAATTTGGTTGCATAGATCGCACAGACCACAGACCACCGTTGCCTTGCGTAATACGGCTACGGATAAGACAAAGTTGTTGACTGTATAAAGCATAAAGATGGAAGCGATGATATGTGGCGGAGGTACGGAATGTATATACACGTAGTATAGAGAGTATAGAGAACGGAATAATGGGTACTTGCCTACCTCTTTCGAACTTTGGAATAGGTCGATTGGGACAGGCCAAGCAAAGATGAGAGACTGAAATATCAACTTCTGGTTGGTGCAGAGGACGATAATTTATTTGGCGAAAATTTAAATACCCTCCCACAAAGGTAAACAGCGAAGCTCTGTTAGAGCTAAAGAAGAGTTGGCTTGGAAATAAATGTAGTGAAAAGTAAGGTATTTTTACGTCTCGCCTCTACATTGTAGGACGAAATTCTTCTGTATCACTGCTAAATTGCTGATGGTTCTCGCCAGAGCAGTGATTCGTGGTTCCAATTAAAACAAGATTCGACCATATCCCAGTGTCGAATCTGGGAACCTTCAGATCTCTCTCTCTCTCTACTTATGGGGGCTAAGTAAGATGGTTAGTGAACTCTGAGGGAACAACTATTTCTGTTGCACTTGATGGAAATGAAAGGTCCTGAATTTATGTTAGAAATAATATTAATGTTCTTTCTTTGGCAGAGCCCTGTTCTGGGGAATACATCAAGGGTGAGGATGACATATAGTACACAAGTGGGGGAGCCTCAAGTAACTCATTGTCACCTCACCATACCTTCTACATGACTTGGGTGAACCATCATCAACCAAGGAGCTGAGAGACATTACTGCTGCTGCAGTAACAGGAGAAAGCAACTCATCATTGGATGTGACACAGATGCACAATACATTATATGAGGGAGCACCAGTGCCAGTGCAAGAAGAGAAAACTTTATGGAGTATCCAGTGATTTGAAACATGAATATTCTAATGTTATATTTTAGCGTCCTGTTGCACTGATTTAAGTCCATGATTTATTTAAACCGTCTTGCAGTGCATACACTCATTTATCTCCTCCTCTCCCTCGCACTACATGTTTCGGCATAACAATGCCATCTTCAGGTGCTTACTTATCCACGCCAAACCAGTTCATTGCATGCCTTGTTCTCATATTAAAATAATAAAATAAATGAGTGTATGCACTGCAAGACGGTTTAAATAAATCATGGACTTAAATATTCTAAGTTTAAGTAAAAAAAAATGTTTTTTTTTTTAATTCGCTAGTGGGGGTGGAGTACAGCTGGGTCCACTTGGCACTGTGGCCACTGATTGGCCTTTTGTACCTGCCCTGGGTGATTATAATGATGGAGAATTTGGTGGAATGAAGATTGGCAGGGGAAACCGAAGTACTCTGAGAAAATCCGCCCCAGAGCCACTTTGTCCACCACGAATCCCACTTGACAAGACCCAGGATCGAACCTGGGCTGCTGCATTGGGAAGCCAGCAACAAACTGCTTGTACTATGGTGCAGCCCAAGTAACAAACATACCTGTATAACCTACAACAGGGAGGTAATTATTAATCTGATATTAGAAGTAGGAGACCTGGTAACCAACATCTGATGAGCCTTCTTTAGTAGATCACAGGTACATATGCTTTCAAATAGATGAAATAAAATAATTTTAGTTACTTTAAGAGGCCATAAGCAAACCAACTAGCAGTAAAATAAATATGACATGAAGGCAGATGTTGAGCCAGTGACACAAAATATTCAGTCAGTGTGACACTGCTCTGGCCATTGGTCATTTGCAGTAATCAATTAACTTTTCCTACTGCCAGGACCACTCATTTTCTAAGCAATTTGCCTTTGTGAGAGTTGAGTGGACTGAGAGAACAAGAAGGTTATACAATATAGCTAAGCGGAAAATAGTTTAGGAATCCTATAAGAAGGTCCGCACCTACTATAACAAAGAAATTAGGAAAGCAAAAATTTCCTCATGGAGGATGTACTGCCAAGGATCGCAGATGTACCAGGCACTGCTAGACTCATGAAGGTCATGACATAATAGGCTAATGACAGGACAAGGTCTGTTAAGCTACCAGATTGGAAGAAAAATTCTGGCACAGCTGTTCAGAACCAACTTTCCACATTCGGAGATAATTGATGATGCAGGGAATCAGCAAGGACACCATTTCAAATTGGGATTGATAAATAACCACTCTTCTAGAAGCTGACTCTGAGACCTAAGCCAACTTAAGATCTGTTCATGTGGGACTTTATTTTATGGAACCAACTAACTACTTAGATGCCCAATCAAGATACTACATTTTATGTATGGTACTGTTAATGGGCTAACTAAGGCAGGATATACAGTAGATGGAAGAAAGTTGCAATGTAAAGGCTGGTTTGGTCCACCTCTTATTCATGCATTCACTTTATACTCTCATAAAATTTACAATTCAGTTGCTTCAGTCTTCCTTTCTGGCTTTACCTATTACGGTCCTCAGTTCTCATAAAAATATTTAAGTTGCCACTTATTTCTCTTTCAATTAAGAGCCTATGCTCCTGTTGAGCATGTCAGTACTGGCTGTTAAGTGTATTTTTCCACTGGAATGGCTTGAAATTGAATTAAACCTTTAACAGTTCAATACAGTTTCATTAGCTGTCATAAATATGTAACAGTTGAATAGCCATATATTTTCTTCTTCCAGTCAGAGTTGTTGGAAATACAGGGAACAGACATGATAAATGTATCAGTTAACACAACTATAAATAAACAACTGAAGACACAAGTATTATTGATGAAATCAGTATTTATTCCCTAAGTGTCTGAGAACAGGGTGTTGGAGGAGAATATTTGGACCAAAGAGGGATGAAGTGACAGGAGGTTGGAGAAAACTGCATAATGAGGAGCTTCATAACTTGTACTCTTCTCCAGGTATAATTATAATGATCAAGTCAAGGAGGATAAGGTGGGCAGGGCATGTAGCACGAATGGGGGCAATGATCTGGCTCAGGATAGGGACCAGTGGAGGGCTCTTGTGAACACGGTAATGAACCTTCAGGTTCCATAAAATGCTGGGAAATTCTTGAGTAGCTGCAGAATTGGCTGCTCCTCCAGAAGGGCTCAGCTCCATGAGTAAGTATTTTTTTTATTGCTAGTGGGGTGGGGCTAAGTCCCTTGTACTGTAGCCACTTCTGGCCTATTGTACCAGCCCCAGATGCTATGTGAGGGTGATTATGGAGCAATTGGTGTAATGAAGATTGGCAGTAAGTAAGTAAGTAAGCATACTCACTACATGTTTCAAATATATGTTGTCATCATCAGGTGTTTAAAATATTAAAGCTGTTATTTATTTATAGTTGTGTTGTGATACATGGACTGATATACATAGCAGTGAGATACACAACAGGATGCAAAACACATATAAAGATGCCAGTTAAGATAAAAAAAAAGGACACAGATGGAGATCACATATTTTATTCATTTGGGTACTTAGTTGAGTTAAGCTGTCAGGCTAGATATATGGTAATATATATTATTCTTTTGTAGGTAGTCTACAATATAATAACTTTCACAAATACATGAAGTAAGTTCTTTTTGATCATATTAATTATTCATCAGACTCACTGGTGAAATACATGTTGTTCCTAAGAAGGACCTTAGGTATATGTTTGAATATTAAATATGCTTGGAGTTCACTTTTGTTTTATTGCAGTGCTGTGCATTGCAGGTCTGTTTTTGGTAGCTGTCACTTTGTTACCCAAACACCCTTCATGTAGCAACAGTAAAACTATTGAAACTGTTTAACAAATGAAGGAAGAATACACGTGGAAACAGTTCAGAGTAGAAAACAAGGCAACCTGTGGGAGAATATGCATATGTACACTGTAGAATTACATGCAATACTTACAAACAAGAAAGTGTGGAAAAATACATAACAAATTGGTTATTATAATAAAGAAATACACATCTATCAACAATGATTCTATTTTCACACACATTTCAGACATCCATAATGAAAGTCACTTTTATTTTTCAGATAACACAGGCACCATTGTCTTTAAAGATCTGGAAATCAGTTCCCTTGATACATCAAATGACCCACAGTTTATACAATGTTGAAAAATATTAAACTGTTTGTGCAAACTGAAAGAAATATTTATACACAATAAAAGTGTCTGTCAGTGAAGAATAGAAAACTTTATTACTATTAGAAGTGGGCACTAATCTATGGATTAAGAGTTTAAATTACTGAATTTAACTAAATAGACAAGAATGGAAATAGATAACAGTTATTTGTACATATTATGGACAATTGTGAACTGGTTAACAACACACTGTCCACTTGAAACAGCTTCAGACATTATACTGAAAAATTATATTCCAAACATGGGACTGAAATAATGTAAAACTGTCTATCATAAATAGTTTTAACTCACAACACTAACAGTTTTAAGGAAGAACATTGGATATACAGCAACAATAGATGAGTAATGAGAATCAGTAAAAAAACAGTTTTATTACTTGACATTTTAAGCCTCTGCATGCAGTGAATCCTTATTAGTACAAATAATGCAAGTGATGGAAAAACTTTCCAATAAGATGCACATTTTTTAGAACTGAGAATAGTTCCACATGATAAATGTACAAATATCCAAATCAGGAATTAGCTTATGAAAGTTCTATCATATTTAAGTGTGTACCCATACACAGAATATCAGACTGGAAGGTCAAGAAATTTGCAGTCATTTGCTTTACTATTTTGGGAACACTATTCTTTATACAATCAGAAGAGCCTTAAGAGAGGAAAACATATTTGTTTATCAGGGAGTTTTCATATCAGACATAGTTGTTTAAAGTTGAAATCAGGATTGTCTTTAAGTCACACAATTTCATGCTCCAAAGGGTTCAGGAACAATGTGAAATATAATGAGGTAACTATCCTATTTCTCTGAGTGTATGAAATACATAATAGTTTAGAAAGGATAAATTAAAATTTCTTTTTTCTGAAAGTACATTGATTAATGAATTATAACAAATTTATTTGTTTATTTATCTATAAATGATATATTAAGCATGGTTTTAATACTTACATATCTCATCTTCACCATTACATTCCATGTTTTTTAAAAGATGCACCTGTGTAAGATATCATATGACTTTTATGGACATTTTTTATTAAAAACCATCACCTTATACACCGGGAAATAAGGTAATGCTTATTCCAAACATAACAGTACAATCCCAGAAGCATGGCTGAAAACGAGATGGGAAGCCATTACAGTAAATGAAGTATATAATAAAACAATATATGCCAAATAAATTATGTTTAAAATTATGTCTAGTTGGCACATCTCTTCATAGTTGTAGCAAAATGGGGCTAATAATAGACCCAGTTTTTTGTCTTGTGTTTATTGAAGAAGAAAAATAATTTATATAATTTAAAGAGAACAGGATAATCATATTATTCCAAAATCCAATGTACGTACAAGATTCTTGTATGTTATGATCCAGTTTTCTATATAAGCAAATTAGAAAGTCAGCGTGTGTATGGTGATTTTGACTTTTCTGTTGTATGCAGTCATTAAAGAAACATTTACATATTTCAAAATCAATATACAATACAATGATCCCTTCTCTTGATGGAAGAGGAATCATTTATTGCCTGAAGAAATATATTATTTGTGCCCTCTGCTTACCTACAGAGTGGATTTTTGGAGCTCTTGCTTCTTAATAGGTTTCTGAATGTTCCCAACACCTGATATAGAGCCTAGTGTGATAAACATTTGTATTAAATGTCGATACTTTCTACAGTAAAGTAGTCTTTGCAATTATGAAGTGTCTGGAACGGAGTCCACTCAGCCTTGTGAAGATAACTGAGGAGCTACTTGAATGGAAAAGTAGAGGTTCCAGCCTAGGAAACCGAAATTAACGGTTGTGGTGATTCGTTGCGCTGACCACGTGACACCCTCTATCCGCTAAAGTTCTAACTTCACCGACAAACGGCGGTCTCTCAGTCAGTATAGTTCGCTTGCGGACTAAAGCCACGGATTTTTTTTTCTATCGCAGTTCCTTTCTTCACTGAATTCGAAGCTGTAACTCCCAGAGGATGTCATTCCTTTAGCCTTAAATTTGTGAAAAGAAAGCTACCGTTCATTTTACGAAAGCAGTTAGTTATTAGAGCAGCATTTTTATGCAACCAACACTACTGAGCAAAGAATTAATAATACACAGGATCATATATGTATTTAAGAAGGTGACAGAGAATACATAAATGTTTATCAGTTGATTTGTTCATAAAAGGCGAACTTTTAGCATGTGATGATTTCTTTTACTGCAGCTGAATACAGTTGGAGGTTCCTGTCAGATATAATGTTTGTATCTCTGATATAGTCTTTTATTTCATATGAAGCTTAATGCTTTAGTCATGTAGACAGCTGTACTTTTTACTATATTACTGTTGAATATAGTATTTCATTCACTATTCATCCTGCAGATAAATACAAATGTAAATTATGTGACTATTTATGCAGTACTGTAACTGAAAAATACTGTTGTTAAGAATAATTCCTTAATGTATAGAATTTAATTAGATGTTGATCCATTACAAAACAAGTACTTTTTCTTAAGTGGAATTGTTGTTATTCCTGCTGCTATTACAGCTTTATACAAATATGATTAACTGTAATATAATATTTTACTGAGGGGTCGGAGGATAAGTCCTGGTAGGGTCAAGAATTTTCTCTTCTCCAAATCATCTAGACTGGCTCAGAAGTTCACCCAACCTCCTGTCCCCGGGGGTGAAGCGGATGGGGTGTGAAGATGACCACTCACCTACAGTTAGTGCCAAGGTCAAGAAAATGTGGATCTATACATCCACTCCCCATATGCCTTCAGGCGTAGTGCATAATTCATTAAGAACTGGGACAACTTTATAATATTGTATTGAATCAGAAATCTGACTCCTTTAATTTTATCTTGACTCTCCCTGAGAAGCAGAGACATCAACTTTCTTATTTTTCATTGTATATTGCTTTTCTTTTTGGCTTATTTCTTCTTTGTATTCTTTCAAAACTTATTTTGTTAAATTTGTCCAATCAGCATCCAGGGTCACTTACTGCCATTCGAATTACAACCTCAACTGCATTAATTGCAGCTGGCTGGCAGTACACAGGTAATTCACAGTAACACCTTCACATCTCTTTTCAGCAATACCCTTTTCCAATGATATGTTTCTAGGCGATTAGTCACGCAACTGTGGAGTAAAACACCATATCAGAGACTATCATCAAGGACATATGTTGTATACATTCTCACATCATTACCAAAAGGTAATACAGAATTCTAAAATTTGACCTTTGTCTTGTTTATTCATCATCAGAATTTCTATTTAAATTGCCTCTGATGGTAAAAGAGTAAAAATAGAAGAGCTGTGGTAGGAAATTAAAATTATCTGTCAGTCAAAATAACTATTTTATATTTACAACTTCAAATTAAAAGAAGTGCATGACACTTGTTATACATTACAGTCTTCAGCCTGGTATTCGAAAGGTTAAACATGCATGCATTTGAAACTCCGATAATTGTTCAAACTTCAATCTGAGATCAGATGAGATTCAATAGCAATCATAAGATATAGCACAGACAGAATATATCAGTAGAGTAAGAACTAACAGTATATAAAAAGTAAATATGTGTTTTTGTTTCTAACTTGAATGATCTTGGAGGAAGTGTGTATGTGATCAAAAATGCTGGTCCAGTTGCTCTTCTGGAGGAGAGGGGCCAGAGATGGACAAGACTGGAAGCACTGCTGGGATCACATTCTTGCAGTCAGCACCATGATGTGGATGTTGCTGTGGATCCATGCCACTTAAAGGGATGTTCTCAGCACTTCGAGCTCTCCGCCACAATTCTGAACGGAATGGTTGAAGGCGGCTGAATTCTGAGTCATGTCCCCCTGCTCCTAATGCCGAGTGTATGTAGATGGCTGAATTGACTCGAGGTCGGCTTGCAGGACGAGTTGAAGGACCTGGCCACTGGTTGAAGTCAAAATGTTGATGTGCTGACCAATGAAGATGCTATGATTGAAAGACCAATGTTACAACTGATACCTGTCATATGTGCAGTGATCATTTTTGAAAGTAATGCTTATTACTTCTCATTACTTGTGTATAAAACAGATTTTGAATTCTGAAACTGGCTTACTATCAATAATACTGTTACCTTAGTTCATGACCTCTGGTAGGAGTGTTATCAGTTAGAATGACTGACTGATTAGTATTCTTAAACTACTCATTATTTTCTTACATTGATTAATCAGTCTGTGAACCTTGTTATATTTATAATTTTTGCAATTTGGAAGATATTTAAAAAGTAACAAAGAGGCCAAACAGTAAGTTTTATGTTGCCTTATTGCAATATGTGATGCATTACTGGTCAGTGTTTGTATTTGTATAACATGAAGTTTTATGAATGTATAATTGAAAACAGATTAAATAAAAGGAATCCCCTCTCTAGAAATAAAGTAATATAAAACATCATCTGGAGTAGATCAAACCACATATGTGCTTAATATTGTAACTGTTTATATCTCCATTCTAATTTATATTCAGTAAATGCCCAAATTTTAATATCCAATTTTATGTTGTATCAGTTACTTCATTAGTTAAATTTTGAAATGTATTTCATTTCCTGAATTGCATATGCTTTTCTCAATCTATATTCTTATATTAATACTTATAAATAAAATTATTTTCAAAACAGTATCTAAAAGACTTTATCATTCAGTAGCTGAGAACTGAGTAACAGTTAAAATGTGCGTATATTACACTGGACAGTTAATTGAGATATCTCACTGCAACTGACACGCTAATTTGTCTACAGAACCCCTTACTACATTCTTCAATGCTCTTATGAATGCTTGTGATACAGAAAATATACTGAATGTAGGAACAGGATGGATTCATTTACATCAGAACAAATCCTGATTTCCAAATGTTATTTAACATTTTCCAGCATGTATGACAGTTCTGTGAAATAAAGAAATAATTTGCAGTTACTTGGCAGCACTATTAGTAAAGAATAATAACAGGAGGTATATTTCACTAAACTTTATGCTGTACCACTGTTCCTATTGCTTTGACCTAAACAAAATGAAATCAACTCTTTGAGTCCACAATATATTGTTTTTTGATAGTGATTTATTAACTATAATGACATTGATTTAATTTTTTTAAGATATAACCCTAGTTCTTAATTATATTGTAATATCCATGCTTCAATTTGGGAGATTTATGCAACACAGGGTTAATAAAGATGATCTTCAAATTTAGTTGTCTTATGTTTAATTATAAGCTTATGGCTACAGTGATATCATCAAGTTAGGTAAGACCCCAATTCTTACACCAATAGGCTTGCCAAGAATGGAGTTCTAAACTTAGAGGTTATCTAAATTATGCAAACAAACTATATCTACAGAACAATAACATAGAAATGTGTAATACAGTTATGTAGTAGGGCTTTCAGAAAGCATAATAACCAAAATTCTGTGTAAAATACTAGATCTATGAGGAAAACAAGTGAACAAAAACAACTGCTAATAATGCACAATAGGTGCAATGCAGGTATTAGTGCAAGCAATCGCTGCTGTGTAAATCTCATGTCATGTGCATTGATACAACGTTTACAACAGTCAAAGCAATGTAGGTATTACCCTTGGCAATGTTCTCGGTCAAATGCCATTTCCCTAGAGTCACAGTCAGTACTATACGAGTATTATAAACTGATGTTCTGAAGTTTTCTCTTGAAGAGTGATTTTCATTGCTTAAGAAAATCCCAATTGTTCATCATTTTTAGAATTCTGCCTTTGAAAGGTTACAATTTTTAGTTAGTATCGCTGGACTTATATACTTGAAGAATAATCTGAATAAGCTGCTACATAATGTTTAAAGTAGTTCATGTATTTCCACATTTCTTAAACAGGAATTAGTTGAATAATGATTCAGAAAATCAGGTTTGCCAATACTTTCATATGAAAAGGTGATGCAATTGTATTGTAAAAGATAGTCATGTATTTACTATTGAAACTCGTGTATTCAGACCTTATGAATTAACATAAATTGGAATCAGGAATCCATGGTTCCTAAACAATATGAAATTTCTACATACTCTCCAATGGAAATTTTTAGGTGAAATATGGTATGCAGTAACTGGTAATTGACTATTGTGTAAATAAAACATTTTCAATATAATCCAAGAAACTCAATTTTTAATTGTAAAAGTTTATATATATTAAGATTTTGACTCTTCATGTAATTAATGGTCTGAGAATCTAACATTTCCAGACTCCATGGAAACTGAAATTATCAAATATATTAATTTTTAAGGAACAAAATAATGTTAATTGGTCATATATGTATGAAATTCTCATTTCATAAAACCTCAAATCCTATGAGTGCCTCTAATATTTTATATGTCTTAATTTTACA